GCCCTTGCTGATGGGGAATGACAGAGGGGACCCTGAATGGGAACCACAGGCCCAAGTGGCCAGCTGATCACATGCCACAGAGACTGGACCGCCCCAGAAGAAATGTCCACCCTTTAGTTTTCTTCTGCCTGTCACTTGTTACAGAAGTGCCCTGCTTTCTGTAAGCCTGGCAGTGTTCTTCCAAGGACTTGTCTGGGACCTGAATAGAAGCATGCAGGACACATGGAAGATGGTTTCTCTTATATGAAATAATCTAGCACATTCTTCAGCTTTCAGGTTGGGAGCTGGGCTGTCAACTTCTCCTTCCTGGCTTTCCCCGAATCACAGATTACAGTCTGTATGTGACGGGGGGTGGGTGGCTTTACTGGTATCTGCAGGGATTGGTGGTGCTTTGGGGAATTGTATGGTTTGATTCTTTTTTGTTTGTTTGTTTGTTTATTTTAGATAGAATCTCATGTATACTAGATTGTTCTTGAATTTTCCTTGTAGCCAAGGATGGCTTTGAAGTTCTGAACCTTCTGCCTCCACCTCCCAAGTGTTAGAATTGTACATGTATGGTGTGTGTGTGTGTGCGCGCGCGCGCGCGTGTGCGTTATGTGTTGTGTGTGTATTGTGTGTATGGGTGGTATGCTGTTGTCTATGTGTGATATATCTGGCGTGTGCTATGTGTGCTATGTGTATGCGCTATGTGTGGGGGGGGTGAAACTCAGTCATTGGAGGAGATTTTTGGAGAGAGTGTTAGCTCCTGTCTGTAGCTCTGACTAGGTTGCCTGAGTAAAATATCCAAACCCCAAATCTCTGTCTTCTTACACCCCACGGTTCAGAGATCTAGGGCAGTAGGTTCCCTTGCAACCTGATCTCTATTTTGTGTGTGTGTGTGTAAGTTTACATATGTGTGTGTGTGTGCGTACATGTGTGCGTAGATCAGAGGCCAGAGATGTGCCCACCTAGATTTTCTTTGTTAAGGATTTAGTGTGCATGCGTGCGTGCCTGTGTGTGTGTGTGTGTGTGTGTGTGTGTGTGTGTGTGTATCTCATGTGTCACCAGAAGAGGGTGTCAGAGAGCCTGGAGATGGAGTTGCCTGTGTTTGTGAGCAGCCTGATGTAGTGCTGGGAACTAACTCTGGTCCTCTGCAAAAGTATCAAGTGCTCTTAACTGATGGTTGTGGCTCCAGGCTCACCTAGTTTGTTTGTTTGTACATAGAGTCCCTCATTGGCTTGCAACTTGTTATTTTGGTTAGGCATGCCTTGTGTGTGTGTGTGCGCACTTTTACATGTCTGAGTGCAGGTGCATGCCTGCCATGGCACCTATGTGGAGGTCAGAGGACAACCTTGGGCATTGGCCCTTGACGTTTTAGCTTGATACCAGGGTTTCTTATTATCCACCACTGCAAATACCACCTTGTTATTTGCCAAGCACTGGTCTTCCAGTTTCCAGGAATCCTTTTGTGTGTGCCTCCTGCTGTGCAGTGTTGAGTATTGGGATTACACACGTGCACTGCTACATCTGACTTTACTGCTGGGGTTCTGACTCAGGCTCTCAGTTTTGTAGAGCGAGTGATGGCAGGCGTTGAACTCAGGTCCCTACTCTCTACAGTCAGAACTTCACCTACAACTGTGCTACCAGTCTACTGCTTTTTTCTTTCAGAGCATCCAAAAGCATGTGGGCTTCTCATGGTCTCACACCATGCAGGTGAAGAAGCAGATGAAACGATTTTCAAGGTCACAGAGCCATTAAGGAACAAGAGGGTTTTCTGTATCTGTGGCTTCCTGCAAAATGGCTGCAAGCGATCACTGCAGCCCAAGGTTAGAGGAGGAACCATGCAGGTGTGGCACCTGTGGGTAGAGGGATGATGTGGAGGCAGGATGTGTTTTGATTTTTTTCTGGAGATCCTGGAAATCCTGAAGCCTCTGTGGTGATGATAGGGACACTCTGTTTTGGTGGTTTGCCCTGAGATCAAGAGAAAAATGAACTCTGTGTGATACAGTAACCACATAAATAATTTTTTTGTTTTGTTTTGGTTTGGTTTTTCCAGACAGGGCTTCCTGTGTAGCTTTGGAGACCGTCCTGGAACTCGCTCTGTATCCCAGGCTGGCCTCAAACTCACAGAGATCCACCTGCCTCTGCCTCTCAAGTGCTGGGATCAAAGGTGAGCGCCACCACTGCCTGGTTCTACATGAATTCTTGGGACGACAACTAAACAAAACACCTATGTGCTGGTGAGAAAGGCCTGGGTTGCAGTAAGGACTCTCAGGCCGAAGGAGCTCAGATGCTATCAGGATTGTGGTAGGGCTGCCACATTTTGTCCAACTGTGGGTCTACTCTGGGGAATGGTGTCTGCCGGAGACTAACTAAGATATACAGACGGCATTGGAGTGGTGGGAAGGGTCAACACTAATGCTCAGTGGTGGTTTACTGTGCCTTAGGCCTCTTTGTTTGTCAAGACAGGGTTTAGTTTTTTTGTCTTCCTTCCTCCCTCCCTTCCTTCCTCCCTCCCTTCCTTCCTCCCTCCCTTCCGTCCTTCTTTCCTTTCTTTCTTTCCTCCTCCTTTTTTTTTTTTTTTTTTGGTGTATGGGCCTGGTTATCCTAGAACTAGCTCTGTAGAGCAGGCTAGCCTCCGACTTATAGAGATCTGTGTGGCTCTGTCTTCCAAGTGCTGGGTACTGCCCGGCAAATCCTTCCCCATTCCTTTTAATTTTTTTTTTTTCTGAGATAGGTTTCTCTGTGTAATGGTCCTGACTGCCCTGGAACTGTATTTGTAGACCAGGTTGACCTCAAACTCACAGAGATCCTCCTGCCTCTGCCTCTGCCTTTAGGATAAAAGGTGGGCATCATGCCCAGCTGGGGATTTTTTTTTTTTAAGTCATGGATTTAGCTAGGCAGTGGTGGCACACACCTTTAGTCCCACCACTTAGGAGGCAGAGGCAGGTGGATCTCTGTGGGTTCCAGGCCAGTCTGGTCTACAGATTGAGTTTCAGGAGAGCCAGAGATACACAGAGAAACCCTGTTTTGAAAAACCAAACCAACACAGGGACTTACTCTATAGCCTAGACTGACCTAAGCATCTTCAAGAGCTGATTTCATCCTTCAGTAATAACCTTTAATATTACCATCCAAACTTTACAGTTCGGAACCTAAGACTGAGGTCACACAGCTTGAAACTGGTAACACTGGCTCTAACAGAGACTCTTCCAACACCAAAGCTGAAGGCAGACATGAGATGGGCCCCTTTGCCTGGCTGAACTGTAGCTAAAGGTTAAGAGCATCTCAGTAAGCACCCTGGTTCTGCAATGCTGACACCATATGTCACATTTAGTTTATATTCCCATTGCACCAACATGGTTCTCAGGATATGTCAATAACTGAGACTGACTGAATTGAAACAGGGCAGTAATGCAGGAGGCTTGCTTCAGTGAGCAGACAGCAGCAGCTTTAGTCATCTGTACATGAAGCTGTAGCAAAATAAGTGTAAACTGCTCAGACAAAAGGTAGGTCAGACAACAAATTCGTAATCAAAACTGGGCACACACATTTAATCTCAGCAGACACAAGGATCTCAGTGAGTTTGAGGCCATCCTGGTCTATAGAGTGAGTTCCAGGACAGCCAGGGCTACACAGAGAAACGCTGTATCGAAACCCTGCCCCCCAAAAAAATAACCGTAATCAATGAAATCTTTCTCTATTATTATTATTATTGGGTTTCTGAGACAGGGTTTCTTTGTGTAGCTTTGGAGGCTGTCCTGGAACTCACTTTGTAGACCAGGCTGGCCTCAAATGAACAGAGATCTGCCTGCTTCTGCCTCCTGAGTCCTTGGACTAAAGGCGCGCGCCACCATTGCCCGGCGTCTTTCTCCTTTTAAAAATAGAAATATTAAAAAGAAAGTCCCACAGGGCAGTGGTGGCGCACGCCTTTAATCCCAGCACTTGGGAGCCAGAGGCAGGTGGATCTATGTGAGTTCAAGGCCTGCCTGGTCTACAGAGTGATTTCTAGGACTCACTGTTACACAGAGAGAAACCCTATAGGACTCCAGTCTTAGAGTCTTAACGTGTCTATTTTTCAATGGTTCTTTCTGATGTTTTCTTTTTTAACCACCTTTTAAAAATCAGGACGAAACAAAGTGGTCTTTTACTTTAATATAAAGGAACATAGCTTTGTTTGTAGTAGTAGCAAACAGCTCGTAAAGATAACTGAACGGACGTAGTTTCAATCGCTGGATTGATTTTTGTCAACACCAGTCTACTGAGCTAGTGGAGATCAACTAAGGAGAAAGGACGTGGTTACCGCGGTAACGGATGGGGGAAGGGAGGGCGGGCCTCTGGAGCGCTCAGCCTTCCTTTGGCTAGAGCGGCGAGAACGCTTGAAGAGGTTTGGATTATTGGCCGCGCCGTAGAGAGCGGTGCATGCTGGGCCTTGGGCAATATGGCGTCCTCCTTGATGCGCTGATGAGAGGAGTTTCACTGTTGCTCCAGAGCAGAGGGCAAAACTCCCCTGACCCAATCAGTCCAGTTTCCCCGTGCGGTGCCCAGGCCCGTGTCGCGCGCGTCTCGGGACTCATTCCCGGGCAGGGGAGAGCCGCGAAGCCGAAGGCCAGCGCCGGCCAGGCCGCGAGGACCCGGGGCTGAGGAGCCGGCTGCGGGCGGGCGCGATGGGCCGGTCCTGGCTCAGGCTGCAGCCCCTCAGGCGAGTGCGGGGCCCGCAGGGCTGAGAGCCCCGGAGCGCGACCGCCTGCGGCCCGGGGATCGGCCGAGGCGTTGGAGGCCCCGTCCCGCAGGCCCGAGCCCGCTCCGCCTGCACGGGCCGCCCCACGGCCTTCCCGGAACCGCCGGCCCGCGGAGCTGCGGGTGGCCGGGGCCTGGGGCGCGTGAGTGCCCGCAGCCCCGGGGCCGCCGCCGCCCGCCCCCCGCCCAGATCTCCGAGTTTGTCCCCGAGGAAGGTCTTCCTTGGAACGCTCTCCCAGCAAAGCTTTCCTCCCCGCCCCTCCCCAGCTCCCCGTCCTGCCGAGTTTTATTCCCCCAGTTCTGGTACACGCCAGTTTTTAAGGCTGGAGGTTCTTGAGCGCTTGCTGCCAAGGACCCCCCCTCCCCCTCCCCCCCTGATGGAGTCGGAGATGCTGCAGCCTCTTGTGGGACTCGGGGAGGAAGATGAGGCCGACGTTACAGATTGGAACCTGCCTTTGGCTTTTATGAAGAAAAGGCATTGCGAGAAAATCGAAGGCTCCAAATCTTTAGCGCAGAGCTGGAGAATGAAGGATCGGGTAAGTGGATTCCCACGGCATCTTTTTGGACGTGGAAGTTTTTTCAAAGAAAGTAAGTTCTGAGCAAGGACGACTTCTTTGGGGGAAAATGCCGGTATCTCGAAGCCACACGTTGCACGTTAACTAAAAGCCAAAAACCATTCCAGGCTCCGGTTGAACATCGTTACTTCGTTAATTCAAATGAAGTTTCGATTCAGAAAAGAAAAATCAAATTAGGAACAGTTGTACCGCAGATGCTTACATGCCTTTTAACATACTTAGTAGCACTTAGAGGAAAGACAGTTTGGGAAATAATACTTGAACCCACGTGATTAGTCTACTTTTGTGGTCTGATTTTTGAAATAGCCAGGCCGATTGAAGGACAGCTGTCTGGTACAAAGCGTTAGGAAACAAGGTTACTGCAGATGCTCAGCCAATAACAGATTCAGGCAAAGTTACTTTAGAGTTGCACTGCAATCCTTCCCAGTCCTATAAACAGTTTGTCTGGAAGGATGACTCCCCTTGTATGTGCCTTCTTGCTCCTGTAACTTGGAGACAGAGTATCTTGAGTGGGGTATGGGGTATGAGGGGTTGGAACTCGGGCTCAGGTTTTAGGCAGTTCTCATGGTGTTGGAGTGCCATGAGCAGTTGTAGCAGCAACTTGCCCTTCCATCCTTTTCCTGGTCTAACAAAAGGGGGGCTCACAGTTTTTTTTATTTTTGTATTTATTCCTTCCAGGCTTCTTTCATTCCTGTGAACTTTTCAGTATAAAAGGGGAAATTGCTGTTGTCACTGTCATTTGTCGTAGTTTATGTATGTTTATAGGAGGTGGTTGTTTTAAAAAGGTGTATGATGTGAACGCTAAGGAGTTTAGCAGTAACCAGTGTTTTGGTTGTTGATTGGGCCGAATTTTAGAAGGTTATGAAAATTCAATCAAAAGCAGGTTAGGTTGGGCATGGTAAGACATACCTATATTCCCAGCGCTCTGCAGGCTGAAGCAGGAGGATCACAGTCAGTTCCAGGCTAGCCTGTACTACTGAGTACAAACCTTGTCTCAAACAAGAAAAGCTGGGTGTTGGTGGCGCATGCCTTTAGTTTCAGAGTTCAGGAGGCAGAGGCAGGTGGATGGCTGTGAGTTTGAGGTCAGCCTGGGCTACAGAGTGAGTGCTCCAAAGCTACACAGAGAAATGTCTCAAAAAACCAAAAAAAAAAAAAAAAAAAAGTTTTAAAGCAACTCTATTTTTTCCTATTCTAGGCGGAGTTTTCATTTAAATTTGTTCTTCTGTTCTGTGGAAATGTGGTTTCTGTTGCCACTCAAACTGTTTAAAATACATTAATGGGCATCTTGAAAATTATTTTTCCAAGACAGGCTTTTGATTATATGTAACCTTGGCTGTCCTGGAACTCGATCTGTAGAGTAGGATGGCCTGGAACTCCCAGAGATCTGCCTTACTCTGCCTCCGACTCCCAAGTCGCCACCATCACCCCCAGGCTGCACTTTAATGTAGGCATTGATTTTTAATTTTTTTCTTTTTTGAGACAGGGTTTGTGTAGCCCAGGCTGGCTTGCAATGTAGTCAGGAATGACCCTGAATTTCTGATTCTGGGCTGGGATGTGTACCATCATGTCCCAGTTTTCTTGGTGCTAGGAATCAAGCTGAAGAGTTTTGTGCATGCTAAGCAAAACCCTCTTATTATCATTATTATTATTATTTTTGGATTTTCAAGGCAGGGTTTCTCTGTAGCTTTGGGGATCAGGCTGGCCTAGAACTCACAGAGATCCACTTGCCTCTGCCTCCTGAGTGCTGGTGCACCGCCACCACCACCCAGCACAAAACCCTATTATTAGAGAGAGAGAGAGAGTGTGTGTGTGTGTGTGTGTGTGTGTGTGTGTGTGTGTGTGTTTTGCTGGGAGGCAGAGGCAGGCTGGTCTCTGGGTTTGAGAAGGAAGTTGGAAGGAAGTTTGTTGCCTCTGGCCTTTTCAGGTCACTAACATTTTCAGTAAGTTTGTGAGATCTGGGTCTCCTGAATAGAGGCTGTAAGGTAAGTGACCACTAGAGTTGGAAGATGGTATGGATGAAGGAAACTGGCCAGGCTTTGGAAGAGTGGCTCCTGCTCAGAGACAAATGCAGAGGGTAGGTGGCTTGTGTCTGGTAGCTTTTCTGGAAGGATCTGTAGGCCACAGAGGGTGAGGCAATCGGGCCTTAGTGAGCTCTTGCCTGTGTCCTCTTTGGGAAGCCAGAAAGTCTTTTTTTTTTTTTTTGGAGATGGCCTTTGTTTTATGGTTGTGGCTGCTGCCTTGGTACTTGCTGCGTAACCCAGGCTGGCACTGAATTTACAGCAGTCTACTTGAATGCTAGGTATTGTAGATGTGCATCACCAGGGCCAGCTTGCCTTTCTTTCTTTCCTTTTTAAGATTTATTTATTTATCCTGGCGTTGGTGGCACACGCCTTTAATCCCAGCTCTAGGGAGGCAGAGGCAGGTGGATTTCTGTGAGTTTGAGACAAGCCTGGACTACAAGAGCAAGTTCCAGGACAGCCTGCAAAGCCACAGAGGAAACCCTGTCTTGAAAGATACTTTTAGGTATATGAGTGCTCTATCTGCATGCATGCCTGCATGCCAGAAGAGGGCATCAGACTCCATTTTACATGGTGTGAGCCACCATGTGGTTGCTGGGAATTGAACTCAGGTCCTCTGGGAGGGCAGGCAGTCAGTGCTCTAACCCACTGAGCCATTTCTCCAGCCCCCTTTAACTTTTTTTAGAGATGGTTCTCACTATGTCCAGGCTGCCTGATAATAACGATGTAGACCTGGCGCTGGCCTTGAACTCCCACAGATCTGTCTGTGTTTTCACTGGGATTGAAGGTGCGAGCCCAAAATGTCTTTTTAAACGAATTAATTAATTTAATATGGAAGCCTTTTAGTTTAAAATGTCGGTCTTAAATCAGAGATTTTAAAGCAAAGCATTCCTGGCACTGAAGGCAAACAGACCCTTTGGGGGAAGTTTGGCCAGAGAATTACCCCTGTGTTACTGGGCCGTGGTGGCAACTACGAGCCTGGTCGTGCACCTTCCTAAGAATGAGGCCCAGCTCTGTGTTCTTTTATTAATCAATTAATTTTTAAAAGATTTATTTGTTTTATGTATATGGCTGTTTTGTCTGCATGTATTTCTGTACATCAGAAGAGAGTATCATATCCCATGGGACCAGTTACACATGGGTGTGAACCACCCCACCTGGGTGCTGGGAATTGAACTCAGAACCTCTGGAAGAGCAGTACCCCCCCCCCAACATTTTAATTACTAAATTAGATTATTGTTTGGTTAAGTCTATATATGGGGACTGCTACATACATATATCTGTAGTGTTTGGGGAATATAATTGTCAAGTAACTAGAAACACACTTGAGTCATTCATGGGCTGGTGGCAAAAGAGGTTGTATGCATGTCCCCCCTTATGTTTTACTGATGTACTTACAGGGGTCTGAAGAGGTGGCTCAGCGGTTAAGAGCACTGACTGCTCTTCCTTAGGACCTAGGTTCAATTCCCACCATCCTTATGCCAGCTTGTAACTGTCTGCAGTTCCGGTTCTAGGAAATCCAGCTCCCTCACACACATACATGCAGGCAAAACACCAATGCACATAAAATAAAAATAATAAAAAGTAGTTCTTACAGTATTCATTTTCCTGTGGACAGTGGTGTGCTGGGGATTCTTGGTCTCAGGTGGATCTTTTGCCTCACATATGTGTGGAATGGGACTTGGGAAGTCTGAGAACTGTTGTCCTGAAAGAGGCATTGTAAGGAGTATGGGTTTTTCCTCCCGCCGCCAGTCTTGTCCTGCCGCCGTGCCAGCCCCAAATAATACACAGGGACTCTGTATTAGGTATTATACTGTTGGCCAGTTATTACTTTCTTATCGGCTAGCTCTGTCTTAAGTATTAACCCATTTGTGTTAATCTATGTATTTCCATGTGGTCTTCTTACCGGGAGCCGGCTGCCGCATACAGCTCTCTCCAGACTCTCCATCTTGACTCCTCTTTACCACTTTCTATTTCCTCCTTGTCTCCTAGTCCCCCCTATCTTCTTTTCCTATTGGCCAACAGTGCTTTATTATTAACCAGTATGAGAAAATACAGAATGACATCTCCCATCAAGGCATTGTGGCTCATACCTGGGTATGTGAATGCAGGAGTATGCATTCATGGCCAGCCTGGGCTACACGAATGATTAAATTTTGAGCCAGCCTGGATTCAGAGTGAGTTTCTGCCTTTAAAACAAAACATGTATTTGTTGTCTGTGTATCTGTGTATGACTGTTGACACCATCTAATGTGACTTGGACTATCAATAGACACACTGTCTAATGTATGTAGAGCTATTGATCAGCACAGTCTCTGTGTGTGTTGGGCCACTGACGTGTAGTCCACAGGTGTGTGGTGTAACTGTAGCAGGAGCCTGTGTGGCCAGAGTACTTCCTGGTCCCTGCGGTCCCCTCTCCCTGGCCTTGTGCCCTTCCTTGAGCATTCCAGTTACCTCTGTGTCACTACATGGGGGCTGCTGTCTGTGCTGGCCTGTTTGACCCCTTTTGCATTTGACCCAGGTGACCCCTGTGTGCGGTTTCATCTTTGCTTTTCACGAAAGTCTTCACGAAATTGATGAAAGTCAGATTTTCCTCTTGGATTGCTGTTGGCTGCTGCTCAGACTCCTCTGCTGCTTGGCACTAAGTGAGGAGTGCCCAGGGATGTGGCCCATTCTGAACTAATCTTGTCTGTCATAGCCGGTGACACTCACAGCTTGTCTTTATTTCTGGCCTCCCCAACCTGCCCTGCCACTCAGGATGCCTGACTGCCTGCTTTGACTTGGTCACGGTGTTCACCACCGGTTTATTCAGTCGGTTGCAGAAGCTGCAAACACATGTTTAATTCTCTGTTTTTTAATTGCATCAGTAGGACCAGTGAATGACCTCACAGCATGTCTTACACTAGACTGCCCTGCGTGATCTGCCCTACCACAGCTCTTTCT